AATCTGTAAAGACCCCTCAAAGCTAAAGAGAGACAAACATACACCTACTTGATGTTTCATTTATCGATCCAATTTTGGCTTTTTCTCTCCTTTTTTATACATATTTTTTGTTAATGTTTGAGATTATAGTCAGTATTTATCAAAGTATACCTTATAGAACTTTCGTGAGAGTAAAAATTGAATTTTTCTTCGGTTATTGAAAATCACAACTAAAGTTATAATATTTAAAATGATCAAGGTTTCACAGTCGTAAGTATTGCTCTCCGGAGAACGTACTTTCAATTGCTTAGTTCATATTTTGATATACCCAAAAGTATATTTCTATTAAAACATGATGCTTTAAACTATATGCAACTAAATAATTGAAGCAAACTTAGAAAAAGCTAAACTTTAGTTTCATTTCGAGGGTAATTTTCTGATTACATCTATTTGCTTATCTATCTCGTTTCAATGAAAAATTTAAGGCCTATAAGCAAAACAAGAGACGATGCCTATTTCACTAAACTAACTTGATTTTCTGGCTTCCTCTTCTAGCTCGTCTTACGATGCTCCAATTTTACCATTCACTGATCGAACTGTCTGGCTAAAAACGAACTCCTCAGATTTTGACATGATTGCCTCCAAGGGACCAACCATTCCTCCTTCAAACCACGAATTAAAAGGAAAGCATTTAATCGATCCTAGCTATAAATTGGAATCAGACGACGACCAACTTTTTGTTTGGCCGATGCATCGAATGACGCAAACCATTAATGCAAGGACCCTACATCACCCCTATTTGCATGAGCAGCAGTATTATGAGCCTAGTAAGTTACAGTCTGGATCAATTAGTATATGTCTCCTTATATTTTGTAGTTAGATGTATCCTTATATTTTACCAGATATTTCTGCTTATACTTCGCGTTTATTTTTTTAGGTTCCCGGATAAGTCCTTTCTTATCCCCTCGCTTCAAGGATCCATCACAAAGATTGGTGTCGGAAACGAATCACAATGCCTCCGTAAATAACAACCTGACTCCCCATGCACTTTCCGAAGACCAGTTCCAAGCCACGAGATCGATTCGTCCTTCTCCGACTCGAAAAGCTTTTGTCGAACTGGAGTTAAACTCAAAATCGCACAATAAAAAATTGGATTGGCCATCACAGAGCTCTCCTATTCAGACTAAGAGACAATATGAACTTAATAGCCACAAGAAATATCAGGAAGCAGTGGCCAGCATTAAAAATACACAAAATCACGCAAATTACGCTATAGCAAGAAAACAATGTCATCTTCCAAATGGAGAAAAAAGCTATATTTGCAACACAATAGATAAAAGAGTAAACACAGAGTCCATAAGAAAAGCAATAAGCCCTGAGTCTAAGCATTTAGAGGCTAGTTTATACCCCTGTCCCAATAGTGGATACGTCAACGCTCCCTTGCTTCATGACCAAGACGTGTCTCCTTCAGACTCATTCAATTGCCAAAATAATCTTTCAGCAAGTTTCACCTCTCCCTCTCCTATGAAGATACTTAAATTCGATCCCAAGTCATCAGAGTATCAGTCAAATCTTGACTATGAAATGCCCGATTCGTTTATAATTGGATATTCGGCACCACTTAGTTCGATGCGATCAAGGAGCAGTGAGATGCGCTGTAGAGCACAAGACTATGGTGAGCAGGCTCATTCAATGAGACAGAAGA